TTTAAATTTACTATGCCGTAAATGTTCGTAATTATTACACTTACGTAATATTCCGGAGTTACTATAGCATAAACTTTTGTAATTATTACATCTACGTAATATTCCGAACTAATCGTAAATTTTCATAAGTTTATGCTCGCGTAAAAACTTGCAGAGGTTTATGCCTATTTATTTTTGCTGATGTAGTTGTATCCTTGTAATATAAATATAACATGTAGTCCAAGTTGATATGAAATTTAAAAGCAACTTAAGTTAATTCTTTGGGATCGTCTAAAGCCGATAGTCACGTGAACATGTGCCACAGTGGCAATGAGCCTGATACTAACTCTAAGTGACTTATGTGGTTAGTAATGTATGACGTGACCACCTAGCTTTAGGTTTTTTGTGGCTTAGCGTAGGTAGTGGCTAATAGCAATGTATAAGCAATTCTTGAATGTGTGCTGGTTGGTGGTGCATTAATTAGCCACAATAATCTCTTTATTTCAGTATCTACAGTATGTTCATAAAATTTATTTTGATTGAAAATTTCCACCATGTGCTTCCTTAACCATCCTGTACTTTTTTCTTATGTGAATTGAAGATATATAACAGAAACATGAATACAATCGATTCTCTCTATACATAACTATTATAATTTTTAAAATTTAGTTCGTTCATCATAAAAAGGCTCATTATAAAGAAAGTTGACCGTACTTAAACTATGCAAGAGTAATTTCAGAAACATGTAGGATTAATGATAAAGCTTGTTTTAAAAGTGAAACTCCTTTAAGAATAAGAACACTACTATTATTCTTTTTTAAGATATGTTTTCAGTGTAGATTATAAAGTTTTTTTATTTAAAGAATTTTTTTTTTATAAACTATATAGTACGTGTTTATTAGCTAACATATTTGTGTTTATTTAAGATTTATTATCATACTTTTAAGGTCAATATATTTTTTTATACCGTATTATTAGAACTTTGACGAGTTGTCATCAGTGTATAAAATCTATGTACACAATGTGCTTATGAGCACATGTTTTTAAAAATTTTCACATGTTATTAGCTAGAAATGTGCACAACATTCACAAGAGTTCTAGACACGTGTGCACCAAATTTATTAATATAAAATCTTAACTATGTGCACTTAGTTTATTTTTATATATGTAAATTAAATAGATATTTATATAAAATAGTTTATATTTATTTAATACTTTAATGATTGTTTCTCTAAATTTTATATATGATTAGATAACTTAATAGAGTAAGCTTATTTTATTTATATATATCAATATATACATGTACAGTACATATATACATAAATTGCATTCTGATTGAATTTAAATTACAGATTGTTTACCTTATATATAATATGCAGAATAAACTATTCTTCATAAGTAGATTCGTGAAATTGTCACGCTAAATCATGAACAGATAATGTAAGCCTAATTAGAAAATATATACAGAATAATTATATAGTTTTAAATCTAGATAAATAAATATTGGATATACAACCAAATACAACATAACTTTATTGATATAATTTAAACAAGTAAGAAATTTTATAAGAATTTATCATGCCAATCTGCTATAATTTTCTAATGCTAACTCTAATAATATATAACACTGGAACAGATATTTCATAAATTTTAGTCAATCAGAACAAGTCTTGACAAAAAAGGTTTTTTTATTCATCATGATAATGAACCTACTTCCGGTTAATCTACTTTTTGCCAATTAAAAATTGAGCTTCGACCTATTAATTGTGTCTGAGAGAACCTTAAATAAATATAAATAAAAATTTAAACAAAAAATTAATTAATATATTGATTGATAACGTTTAATTGATTAAATAAGAAAAAGTTCTAAAGACACTTAATTGAAATATCATGTGAAAATCTGACATTATATGACAAAGAGTTTTGTAAAACAATTTTAACCTATTAAAGAATTTTCAGAGTTGTATAGCTTATTAATAAAATCGCTATATACAAATATAAAATTTATAAATTTTTTTTAATCACTTAAATTTTTATTTTATTTAAAATTAGATATTAAATTATCTATTTTAAAACTTCTAATCTAGTATGCTTCTGAGCAAATTCAATTATTAAGTAGTTAGCAACATACTAAAAAGGCTCTCTAATTATTTGGTTTAATAAAGATTTTAATTTTAAAACATTTATTTAGGTAGATTTATATTATTTTACTAATAATCGTTCTATAGATCTTTTAGTTTATAATTTACAAGCAAATTTATTTGTTATTTTATAGATAACCAATTTACAAACAAGTATTACAAACAGTTTATTTTACTAATAAATATAATTAATTTTATAATATACATATTTTAAATTTGCGCACATATATTTTATAGTATTATAAAAATTTATAGTGCACTAATTTTTAATATTATTCACATAAATTAAGTGTACAAATATGCACGATATTCACATGTTTTTGAGGTGAGATTTTATACACTGGTTGTCATCATTCTGGCCTGTAAAAAATTTGGAAAATTATAACTTATAGACATTATAAACGTAAAAGAATACGAATTTTTTTGAATTTAACCCGATAATATTAGAAGCTAAAGATTATGAAAAATGAAGGAAAATGAATATAGCAAGAGCATTTGATTTGAGTAGAATAACTTTAAAAAATGGTGTTTTCGTTCTATTAAAACTTATAATTTATTGTTGTTAGAATTCAAGAATTGCAAAGTATAAAACACACAAGCCACTTAGGGTTTGTAAATTCTATTGGATGTGGTTACTATAAGCCACAGCCTAGGTTGGCCAATGGACCAAAATGTGGCTTAGCAAATGCCAATGGACAATATCTATTGACAATTTATTCAGAACCCATCATAGCCCATTGCCAACCCTAGCCACAGCCTATGTGGCTTGAGGTCACGTGCCATCCGGCTTTAGACGATCCCATATGAGGCAGCATAGCGGGCTTTCATCGTGATTGGCTAATTTTCGTAGATCATCTCGTGATATTGTGAAAATTTTATTGGTTAACCAAATTTTAAAACTTAAATTAAATCATCGAATAAAATGAATTTGAGAAAGCTAATGATATAAAAATAATTATACTTATGACAAATTTGACATTAACAGAAGCCTTTATACCGAAATTTCGATAACTTTCAACCTAAAACTATACCCTTTCACAGATAAAATTTCAACAACTTAGATTTTATAAATGAATCCCAATGTACAGTACGTACAGTACATGCTATAAATAAAAAATAAAAATAAAATAAAAATAAAATAGAATAGAATAAAACAAGAAATGAGATTTAAACTATTTCTAGAATACTATATAATAAAAAATGAACGGAAGCAATCTTAAATATTGTCTCTGCTCTAACGTCAAACTATCTTTAATTTATTTAATAAAAAGTGCCACTAATTTGTATTAACTCGTCTCATGAAATCTATAAGTCTTATAAGTCGCGATTTCATATTACTAGCCTATAACAACGTACTTGATGAAATAATTTGGAATACACGTAATTTTGTTGTAAGTTGAATTGGAATTCTTTAACAAACTCGGGCACATTTTAGAATTCTATTACAATTTATGTTTATTCGGAATTAGTGTTCCTCAGAACCGATCCGGAACCGACCCGGTTCGAATCCGGGTCCGTTATTTTTTGAAAAGTTAAACTCGAACCGAAATCAATTGATTGGCTGTATTTCGGTCTTTCGGGTTTTTCGGTTTCGGGACCCTATTTGGACTCGACCCGATTTTTCGGTTCGAGTCCGGATCCTTAAAGAACCCGCCCGGAACCGGTCCGTTCGGAATCAACCTAGGTGGATTCTAAATCTACAATAATTCCATTCCGATGTACGGCATACATATCAAAAATTTTTTTTATATTATTACAAACCAAAAAGGAAATTTAATTTTGTAAATAAACTAAGTGTATAGAGTTTAGGGTTAATGTATTAACATTAGAGGCCCCTAGCATCACCATCCTAAAAATTTTCTCTACTATTTCGCCGGCCAATCAGAAGGTAAACGCAAAAAAATCAAAATAAACCAAAAAATTATTATAACTCAACATTTTACATATGAAACAACCTCCTGCGCACTAATAAAAAGGGTTTCTTTGCGAAATTTTGGTATTAATAAAGCTCTTTTTCTAATCCTAATTTAATTGCGAAATTTTTTTAGCGAAATTTTTTAAGTTGGTGATGAATACCAGGTTTAATCTCTAATCTATGCAATACCAAAATTTTCAAATCACATTATTTCAATATTAATTAATGTTAATTGCCCAATTTATTATCCCATGAGTACTAGGAAAAATCGTAGCTAGTCAGGAAATTGAACGTTTATTAAAAAAAAAACACAATAGAATGTGAATAACAGATATATTATTATAATTAATTATTAATTAATCGATTTAATTATCTGGATAATATGAGTTTAGAGTAAGGAACATAATGAGGAACAATATGAATATTTTCAACTTTTTTTTTAAAAAAAATTAAATAATTAACAAGGCATTATTAAGCATTATTAAGCATTACGAATAATAATCAAATTTATCCTATTTAACATGAAAGAGCAATATTATGAAAAAAAAGTTATGAGAAAGTTATTCAGAATTACTTCTTCAATAAAACACCAAGCTTCTTGATTGATTTTGACAACTTTTTGGTGGAAGTATGCAATTTAGCTACTTCGCTCCTATATTTTTCATTCCATTCCAATAGCGCTTTTGTGACAGCTGCGTCTGTACCATCTTGTTTAGCGGCAGCTGCTATTTTCGTATCAAAAGCTTTAGATTGGCTATTAAAATGGTTATAGGTTGAAGTCACATTAGCAATTTGCGACGCGTATAGATCTTTGAACCTCACACCCAATGGTTGGACTTTGTCTCCAACCTTAGCTGCAGAGGCCGTATTAGCAATAGCAATAACGAATACCAAAAAAACAGGGAGGATCGATAAGAATTTCATGATTGAAATTTGTTAAATATCTGATATTTGAAATATTAAGAGAATATTTAAAAGTTATAATGAGCTAATGACCTGGAGCATTAAGGGATCAAAGCATATTTATATATTTCGAAAGACAAAATTTTCAATTAAATTTGCCTTTTTTGTTTTTTTTTTATTACAATATTGTTATTATTCAAGATAGGCACTCCGCCATTTTTTCAAAAATCTTGCGCATGAAATCCCCGCGGGTAATCTGTATTTCTTTTGCGGGGTAATGTCCACGCATGATAGAATCATTTACGTATATCAATATGCAATGGAAAGTTCTGCTAACACTGTAGATGATCAATGGCTGTCTTTAGTGAATTCTTATGATTATAGATACAGACAAATTTACGTTACTAATTACGGATCAATTTTATAAATCGAGTTGACGTAACTTTTTATATAGAAAGTAGCCAAATGATATCATAAGTCTTATGATCAAGGATTTTATATGATTCAACATTATTCGATCGTTAAAATTGCTATCGGCATAGTGAAACAAAATAAATGTTATTACCGATTTTGGGAGTTAAAGGTACCTCAACATGAAAGTGCATGATAACATATGAGTAATGATTTATCCGGTTAGACATTGGATGTCTTTCCCGGATAACCCGAATAATTTAATAATATCCGGCTGAGATTTTCTTATGAATAACATAGAGAAAACTTGTAATTCACCTTTTTAATGGCCAATTTTTGATGGCACCATTTAGCATTAAACAATCGAATTTCATAAAATGCATGAATGTAAATTATTGGTTTCTTTCAAAAATGTGTGAACAACAAATTCCATATACCTATGTGGGAAATCGAAGAATTTGGGAATTTAGATTAGTAAAAATCAAACTTTGGGAACTCCCCATGACATGGTGGTCTGCGACCGTTCACCTTTTTGAAACAGCTATAAATGAAGCTTCTTGCTGGAATATGCATGAGGAATTCACGATATTTCCTAAATTTCCAGAGTTGCTCTAATTGATCTTTACAGCCGTTTCAAAAATGGGTGAACTACGATTCCCATATACATATGTGGGAAATCGAAGAATTGGAAATTTAGATTAGTAAAAATTAAACTTCGGGTCTTAGAAACTCCGGAAATATTATGAATTCCCCAGGACATGGTGATCTGCGACCGTTCACACCTTTTTGAAAACAGCTGTAATTTTTAAATTTCAATTCCCCACATGGATTACGAAGTCGTTTCCACAATTTTTTGAAAACAGTATATTTTTATTAACAAATATATATTACCATGAAAAAATTCATATTAAAATAGATAGATCTGATTACTACCAAATTTGTAAATTACGTAAAATATGATAAAATCAACCCCGAAAATGTGATTTTTTATATAAATTCCGAATCCAGTTTCCACTTACAACATATCTATACATTATGGGTATATATGACATAATATCATTTTCCAATTGAGATTAGGTTTAAGTCACGTTAAGGGGTAGATTCATTGATTAATGTTTTTATGGGAGATCGAGATCTACAGGCGTTCCTTTTGATCTTTTCCACACAAAATATTAAAAGGCGATAAAAGGCGATAATAATAAAATTTTGCGGAAACTTAGTTTTTAGATGCAAATTTATAATAATATAAGTCGCATTTTCTAAATTAGTCATCTAAGAAAATTTTAATTTAAGTATAATATTAATAGCTATATATTATTGCAGTATTAAATAAAAAAAAAGTTATTTCTAACCGATAAACTATCTTCGATTTTATTTCGTACGTACGTATAATATTTATTATTTACCGGATTTAGTAAGAACCTGATAGAATCTCTTTTTGCTTTATTGATCCGAAACTTTATTCTATAAACTATTGAACCATGAAGACAAAATATAAACATGAACTAATATACGGCTTTGTTTTTGTCCGAATTAGCCCGATCGGAATGTCGGAAGGTGATTTTCAAGGCAAAGACCCCATATCGATATAGTAACGGTAACATATACGATACGTAATCACATATAATATATTGTCACTGATCAGATTTTTAAATTGGTAATAACGATAATAAATGATAAACTTGGAAGTATATACTTAAATAACTTCTATACATTTCGGGTTCATTTTGGGTTCATACATTTAAATTTTATTATTTAATCTTTTTATCTCATTGGGGTTTTGGAATTCCGAATCAGAAAATTAAATAAGCGTAACCGGTTATAAACATTTATCGGTAAGTGATTATGTAAATAAGTACTTATTTTAAAAAAAATTAAAATTTCATAGGTGGGAACGGAATTTAAGTTAATTCGGAATTTTTAAGGTTAGGGTTGGGATTTTTAGTGTAATTATTCCGTTCTAATCTTATAACATATATATAATTTTATATAATTATATAAGTTTTATAAAAAATATATACTTTGTGACGATATGTATAAGTTTTAACAGAAAACAATTCAACAAAATTGATTGGGACTTTGCGTGCAAGTTTTAATTTGAGAAACTTGGCGAATATCGTCTGTATGTTACTTAATACTGTAATAATTATATAAATTTCTGGGTAAGTAATTGTAATTGTTAGTGTCCCACAAAAGATCCGGGTCCGGTCCGGTCCGTACACCGGACCGAATCCGGATCCTTATTACAGCTGTTTTCATTATTCCTGGGACACCTATAAAAAATTAGCCGAAAAAATTTTCGGCCGGTAATTTTTTCGGC